AAGCCCTAAGCCCTGAACCCTCAAACTAAAAGCATTACTGATAAGAGGCCGGTCTCCCAAAGGCCCTTTCGAAGGCCTCCACCGCCGCGAAGGGATTCTCGCGCTGGAAGAAGCTTGGAGCGTTCAACATCACCTTAGCCAATCCCAGGACCCGACACCTGACATCGCTAGCAGCTTGCACTCAATCCTGGGGCTACTCTCCAGATGCCTTTCGCCTTCGCGTTCTTCTGTGGAACGCTACACTCTGAAGAGCCCAACCCTGCTCTCTAAAGGGCGCGCCACAAGGAACACCAGCGTGCCACTTGGAAAGTTGAAGCGGGGCCTGCTGGCGAGGTAGCTCTCGCTTTCCTGAGCTGAGTGCTGAGAGCGCTTGGGGCCGACAGATTCTGGGCTCTTCAGCGAGGCGGTGAGAAGCATAAACAAACAAACACGGAAATAGTGCTGCAATTTAGTAAACACTTTGAAGCATGAAAGCAGTACGATTATATGGACAATCCGACTAGAGAGCTTCTTGCCCGAGACGTCTTCGTTCACATCCAGATGTTCGTGTGCGTGGCTCCGTTTTGGTTTCGTCTTTATTTCGTATGTCTTTCGCAGGTTCGTGTACATTTCGTATTCAGTGCACATTGCTTGATTATTCCATATTCATTTCATCTTCATTTAGTACTCTTTCATGTTTTGTGTTAATTTCGTGTTTTCGTAAATATTCCAAATGTGTTTCTCATTCATTCCGCATGTATTCTGCAATTATTTCGCGGTTTCGTATGTATGTCGTATGTGTTTAATACCTTATTCGCATCGATTTCGTGTGAGCCGAGGAAGCCGCCTAAGAGCGCCAGTCGGCGCGCGCCGAGGATCTGGGGTGGCTTGAGAGCCCAAGTTCATCGTCAGGATCTTTGTCGCACCTTTTTGATAAAGTGGAGATGAGGTGATCGATCTCGTTGCGAAATCGGAAGGGGTCCACACCTGGCGATCAACAGAGAGCTGGTCAGAAAATTGGCTCGCTTAGGGACAGGACAACAGATCCACAGCTTTCGCAGCCCCTTGCCTCGTTGAAGGCACGCAGCTGGTCAATCCATGCAGCTGGGATGTTCTCCAACTCCCAAATCCAGTATCCGATGTTGTAATACATGCTCCACTGCTTGGGCGGGAACCTACTCAAGATGTTAGGAGTTTCAGCAGCGTTTGCCACGAACAGATTGACTCGGTGCTTCGTGGCACGCGTTGTGTTCAGGCGGAGCGCTTGGTGGCGCGACTGCGGCAGATTCGGAAGGGTGATGGCTGTGGCGTCCACCTCAGGGGTTTTCGAAAGATTATTTGATCCTGTGTGAGCCTTGCGGGGAGGTTTCATCCCCCATGAATCACACCCCTCCCCCACCCCCTAAGCCAAATCTCTAAATCCCAGTCGAAGCACACCTGGAATGAGCCCCAAGTTCAACAAACTTCTTGCCTGGACTGCTTGCAAGGATTGCAGCACCGAATAGCCTGCCTCGCCGATTCCAAAAACTTCATGGAACCAGGCGTAGACGTTCACGCCACCTTGCAGAGGCTCCGAGGC